TTCCCCCCAAACACATTCCGAGTTCTCCGGCTTCCTGGAGGTGCTTTTAATAGTGCACAGACTCGCAGCTCGGTGGCGAGGGGACAGCGTGGAGGGCTGCGGCTCAGACGCGCCGTGCCAGCTAGCTCGCAGGGATCCAAGTGTGAGAACCAAGTTGTCACTTGATGTGTGGATTTGGCACCCATGCGGCACGCCTTGGAGATGGGGGCTGTGGGCCCTAACTGCGTGCCAGGTGCTCCTGGAACGAATCTGCCTTGCCTCGGCTGGCGGGGGCCTGTCACCGGCCCAATCCAGGGGCCCCCACCCACTCCTACCCCACAGCTCTTCTCCAGAGCCAAATCAATAGGCAGTGGTCTGACCACCCTGAGGCCTAGGTGGTTTGCGCTAGAATGGGACCCGAGTGAGGCTGCTCCATGAGGCCACACAGGGTGGCTCTTCCACGCTCCCATCGAGAGGGCTGAACAGAGATTTGAACCCCAGTGCCCCAACTTCCAGGCCAGGCACAGTGGGTCCTCATTTTAGAGTGCTCTCGTGTCCCACCTGGTGGGTTCCCTCCTGTTGCCAGTCCCCACCTGTCCGGGTCGGGTTGCCAGATCCTGCTCACACCTGCGGTTTCTCACAGAGTTCCCTCTGCCTTTCCTGAATGGTCACTCTTTACTTTGGGTCTCTGCCCACTGCTTCCATCAGGCTCACCTCCTCTGTCTTTGGTGGAGGCGGGGTGTGCATTTCTACACCATGGCAGCATCGTTTTCATTGAAGACAAAACTCACTGGGCCCGAGCCCAGCCACACTCTTCTCTGGATCTCGTCCCTGGCACAGGACACCTGGGCAAGAGAGAATGAAGGTGGCAGAGGCATGGAGGAGGGCGTGGGAGAATATTGAATGTGCATGCCAGGCACTGGCAGAAGGCCTGCCAGGGTGCACATAGGCTTTGGGCACGTGGTCGGCAGAGACGGGTCGCCAGGAAAGGGCACCATGCTCAGTAGAGGTTTCGCAAGGAGAGCTCTGTCCATGAGGACGGGCGACACAGTGAACAGCCGCAACAAGGGACACGGCATGCCAACAGCGGGGAAGACAGAGCAGGTCTGGACAGTGTTTCGTTCGGCTACACTGACTCGACGAGAACCCGCAGCCACAGCCAGACACCATGGGCTTCAGCAGCCGGGGAAGAAACGCGGAGAACGCTCATCACAAGCATTCAGGGGACCAGGGAGGAAACTGAGGGTAAGGGGTCACACCTGAGAACAGAGCACCAGGGAAGAGGTGAGGGAGGGGCTGTTTGGAGGGAGAGGTACAGGGCCTGTTGGGGTCCACAGAGCCATGCGGGTGCTCAGTTGATGATGAATAAAGAGCTGAAGGAAGGGGAGGGGGGGGCGGAGCAATGGGGATGCCCAGGACGGAACCCATGGTGCCAGTGCCCAGGTAACTGGAATGTCGGAGGTTCAAACCCATCAGCTGCTCCGAGAAAGATGAGGCTGTCTACCCCCATGAAGACTGTCAGCCTTGGAACCCCGCAGGTGCAGTTCTACTCTGTCCTATAGGGGGACTCTAAGTAGGCTGGACTTAATGGCTGTGGTTGGTTTCCATTGGGCGCTGCTGACCTTAGACTTCAGGCAGGGCATTGCAGAGAAGGGAGCACTTGATGTGTTGGGCTGTGATCCGGTAGGCCAGCAGTCTGACACCCTCAGCTGCTCCGGAAGAGGAAGACGGTGCTTTCTCCTCCCGTAGAGTTATGTTCTTGGAAGCCCACAGGACAGTGCTTACCCTGCCCGGTAGGGTCGCTATGAGGCTGCATCGAGTCGCTGGCAGGGAGTTTGCTTTTGGTAGGGAGGACCAGGACGCAAGCTGCTATGGTGAACAGCTGTAGGGGGACGGGGCCGTGGTTGGGGCTGGGCTCCTGTTGGGGGACACGGCCCCATGGGCAGAGCAGCAGTAGAGTGAAGGGGTGCAGCTGCCAAAGGTGCTGCTCACGCGCCAGGCCACGTCAGGGGCTGACTGTATGCTTGACCCTCTGACCGGGGTAAGGAGAGAAGGCGTGGTGAGGGCAGCTCTCCAGGTGGTCACTGTCTCAGGAGGCATGAGAGGAAGGGGACAGAGGCACTGGGCTGAGGAGGGCCGTGCCACCACGAGATGGCAGGGGTTGAGGCTGGGCCACTCCATCCTGGTGGGGGGTGAGCTACCAAGGACTTAGTTCTGCCGCCAAGTTTAGTGTCCCAGAGGCATGCTTCTCAAGGGACATGTGATTCACTGACCACATGGCATTCCTGCCCCACATTGCCAACTCTACAGTGACCACTAAGTGCTGGGTCAGCAGTTTGGACCCACCAGCTGCTCCAGGGGAGGAGGGGGTGGCCATGTGCTTCTGTAAAGATTCACTGGCCATTGGGTTGATCCTGACTCATGGCAACCCTACAGGCACGGTAGGTGGGGTAGTGACCTAATCCGGTGTCAACTGGAGACTATTCAGAGTGGACGTTAGCCTGTCAACCAGGTCGCAGCTTGATGATCTCCTTTGGAGGCGACACAGAGATAAATAGCTCCCACTGGAGGCCAGACCCACACTCTCTGCTTCATCTTCCTGCTGACAAACCACGTGGAGCTGTGCTGATAGAGCCAGAGCCTTGGAGCTGCAGGAGCCACATGGAGACCCACATCACACTGAGATACTTCCACCACCGCTGGATCCACAAGACTTTCCACCCACTGGCCTGTGATCTTCCTGCATTCCATGTTACTGCATGAGTTGTGTGAGTCTGAAGGGGAATTTATAGACTGGTATCGGACATGTGGGCTAATATTGGACTTATGGACTTGATCTGAACTGGGCCGGGATGTTTTCTCAATATACATTTGCTCTTTGATATAAAGCCTTTCTTATACACATGAGTTTCTATGAATTTGTTTCTCTAGTCCACCCAGACTAACAGTAAGGGAGGGGATCCTGAGACTAACTCTTTACAGGCGCAGACAGCCTTATCTTTCTCCCGCAGAGCTGGTGGTGGGAGCAGCTCAACTCAAACCCACTGCCCCCCACCAGGCTCTGTTCCATTACAGCCTGGGAACCGCTATGGGGCGTTCCAGCCTGTCCTTCAGGCCCACCAGTGGGAACAGACTTGAGGGCAGTGGGGCGGGAGGGGCTTATGATGTGGGAAGGTGATGCTGGCTGGGCAGGAAGGGGCAGTGAGTGCAAAGCAGACACCATTACCAGCGGCATTGCCATCCAGCTTGGAATTGGGGGCAAGCTGCCCTGCAAGCGGAGGTCGGGGGTGGGGGTGGCAGGAGAGAAGGTATCTCGACGTCCAGCAACATGTCCTGGAGCCTCTACGGACAGATCCCTCCGCAGGGCTGGGCTGCATGTCACCCAGCCCCATCCGGCCAGGCGGAATGGAGGCTAAGCAGGGACCGGGCGCGGGTCTGCGGTCAACTGCGACTCGGCCCCCAGGGGACACGCGGACTGGCACAGGAGGGCGGCACTGTGAGAGGGGGGAGGGATGTCCTTCATTGGGGACTTGGACTTATGCTTTCTGGGCGATTTTGAGATAAATGTATGGTCATTGTTATAAAACCCCCAACTACCCCCCATCCCTACTCCCCGGCATGTGAGGACAGCGCTCTCTGCAGGGCACGATCATGGACCCGGGTCAGGGTGACGCGGGACTCCTGTGCTGGAAAGGTCCTCTAAAAAAAAGAAAGAAAAACTTTGTGGAAACTGACGGCCAGGCCTTCCTTCTGCAGTGCAGCGGGGGCAGGTCCCAGCTGCTGGCCTGAGCTTCGGAAGTGGCTTCTTCCTGTGAAGAAACGGCACGTGACCTGGGTGGCAGGGTCCTGGCGCCAAGAACGGGGTACTCCACCAGCTCGAGTCCTTACGCAGCAGAAGCTAGTCCCCCACACCTGTCTTAGAGCCATGCTGGTCTGTGAGATGGGAAGGTGAGGAAGCGGACGGGCACTAGGGGTCTCGTGATTAAGAGCCCCATGGGGACCAGTGACCAGCTGGCTGCCCCAGGCCAGCCAGTGCCCCTCCACTCTGCTGCACCTGTAGAAAGCTGCCGCCTGTGTTGGTCTGAGCTGGGGAGTGCACAGGGCAGGTCTGTGGCCCCCAGAAACCAGCATGCCCCTTCCTGGGCCACGTTCCCCCACCCCCATCTTGTGGGCCACAGCCAGGTAGTGTGCATGCCCCACCTCCCCAGTCCCTACAACCAGCAAAGAACTAGGTTTCCTTCCTTTGAAATGCCTCCTTTGGTGACCTGCAAGCCCCCCACCCCACCCAATGGGGTCCAGATGCAGACCCTGCCATAACATAGTCTTGGGGAAGCGCATGGCTCTCCTGCCCCAAGCCTCCCTCTCTCCCTCCAGCCTTGGCTCAAAGCCAGGCCCCCCACCCCAGGGCTGAAGAATGTATCTGGATGCGCCTTGTGTCACCATGTGTCTCCCCCCCACCCCGGGGAGCTGAAGAAGGTGGAGCCGGTGCTCGTGTGAACAACCTTGCCAGTGAACGACTGCATAAAGGTGATCCCTCGCGTGTACCCCTAGCTCTGGAGGATGGCGCAGATGGGCGCCATGCGATCCGGACACCAGGTCCGTGCCAGGCTTCTGCCCGTGCACAGAAGAACCATCCCACTTGAAAATCAAGGGGCTGCGGGAGGCCCCTGATCTCAGGTAGGAGGATGGCGGGGCAAGGAGGGGCACCTTTCCGCCAGTGCCTGGGCTGGGGATACTCTGCCCGAGGGGAATCCAGTAGAAACAGTAGGGTCAGTGGCGCCTCCCCGTCCTGCCCAGGGCTCCAGGCCTCAGGGAGCCTCCCGCCCCTGGGTGACTGCGAGGGGCTGAAGTGCGGGATCTATGGCTCCTTCCGCTTCGGTGACTGGGGAATGGGGTCCAATTGCCAGCCTGAGTGTGGATGTGAGGGTCAGAGGCAGATTCTGCCCAGGGCTGCCTGAGGTGGTCTGGAGGGCCCGGGGGTGGGGACGCCCGGCTAACCCCAGCACACACCCGACACAGTGTCCGGAAGGTGCCTTTATTAGTGGTGCAAGCAAGCAAGGAGAGTGGAGCGCTCGGAAACATCCATCCAGGACTAAAAATAGAAAAATAGAAAGAAAATGTCCCAACCGGCCGCCTGCTTCGAGCTGCATCAGGGAGCCCTGACGAGAGGCCCCAGGCCACTGGGCTGGGCTTCTCCCCTCCCTCACCGGTGCCAGGGCCGGAGCAGAGACAAAGGCAGGGCGGAGGGGGGTGGCTTGATTCGGCATACTCAGTGCTCCTCCAGTGGGCATCAGCGGGGCAGACAGGCCAAGCGCAATCCGGGCTTTCAGAGCCGGACTATTGGGCATCTGCTTGCTGGCAGGCAGGCAGGAAGGGTTTCAGGGCACCCACACCAGGCTGCGATTTCACTGAAACCCTCTGTGGCCGCCTCTTCTGTCCCCGCATGCACTCCCATCGAATGGCCAGCAGGAGCTTTTCCGGACCAGGGCCATCCGCAGCACTCAGGCGGGAAGGGAGCTTCTCTCTCCGGGGCGGGATGGCATCGGCTTCTGCTTCCCCTCGGGGCAGCCCCAGGACTCGAACTCTCACACGCAGTCTGTGCCACACCCGCCAGGACTCCTGTCCATCAGAGCCCTCTGCCTCACCTGCAGGGCCAGAGGCAAGCTAAGGGGCACTTGGCCCCCTCCCGAGCTGCTCCTGGCCCCTGGAAACGGGCTTGTTTTTGGTTTAGTGGCATCACTTAGCTTCCCCGTGAAGAGCCCGGAAAATTACAATCGCCAGGGGGGGCTGTGAGAGGTTCTGGGTGCCTGTCGCCAACGCTGTGCTCCAGGCACCTCGGGCTCCGTGGGGGCCCGGCCGCCGCCTCCAGTCCACCAGGCGAGTGCTGCCAGGGCACATACGGCTTAGCTATTAGTGTGGGGGTACCGGGAGCATGCAAGGTGGCCGCTGCTGTAGTTACAAGTAGAAGTCAAACGCGAGGTCACACTTGCCCATCTTCTGCTTGTACACCAGGTCAAACTTGTCATTCATGGACACGGTGAAGATGTCCTTCCAGAGCCCGATGCGCCCTGAAACACAAGCCAGAGTCGGCTGCCGCCAGCCTGGGAGATGGCTGCTGGCTCCTGGGCCCCTCTCTGGACATGGGCAGTGGGACTGGACAAACAGCGGGCCTCCAACCTTTCTGAACCACTGAGGCATGGGGGCGTGAACGGAGCTGAGAGCGGCTGCCTCGGGTGGCTACTATCTGCTGGGTGACTGCACCTCACGTGGGTGTCCTGGGGCTGTGGTTCTCCATGCACCACGGTTTGCTCAGGCTGCACAGCCCCACCACGACTGTGCTTCAGGAGAACTGGAAAAGGGGTGGGGGCGGGGGGTGGGGTGAGGGATGAGGGGGAAATCACCCAGAAGGCAAAGAATTTGGTGGCAGGTAGCGGCTCCGTGGGTCAGGGGCAGAGGTTTGGTAGCCACCTGTGGTGGCAAATTCTAGGTGGAGAGTAAAGTGGCCAAGAAAATGGTCACAGACTATGTGTGGCAGCCACCCTCACCTTCCAACCGGAGGCACTGCCCCCACCCGGCTGCCCGGCGAGTCTGTGGAGCACAACGTACAGGCCACTGGGGGAGCTTCAGGGGATGGTGGGGAGTGGGGAGGTGGGAATGGGACTCATGTCACATGGGGACCCTATTCTAGCCTTTCTAAGACTATCCATCGCTCCCTTGGCTCAGCTTGTGGGTTTGAACAGCTGACCTCGGGGTTGGCAGGCTAACAAAACCTACTGCCCTGCCTCCTTCATGAAGTGCCCCGTCTGGAGTGGCATGCCTGGTTGTGCATGGCTGGAGACTGGGGCACTGTTGTCCCCATAGCTCTGCTCCTGCCACTTCCACATCCCCTCGGCGGCTGGATGCTCCCCCAGTTTCTCTGAGGCCGGAGCCATGCCCAGCACGCAGCCTGCATCAACTGCACCACGGCCGCACCCTGGTCCTGACAGGCAGGCCCTTAGGGAGCAGCACAAGCCTGCCCAGGCTGGCCTGGGGCTTCTCTGGGCTGAGCAGCTCACCTCCCCACCCAGAGTACAGACAGGGGTGGCCACTGCTTCCTGAAACACGCTGTAAGAACCAAGGAGCAGCGCTAGAAGCTTCTATAATCTACAGCAACCACACCCTGCCAGTTCTTCCTCCCCCAGGAGTGTTTCTCTCAGTTGTGGCGGCCCAGAGCTCATCAGAGGCGTCACCTACCTGGTTTAGGGTTTGGAATCAAGACAGTGCAATGTGTGATGGGATATGAACCAAACTTAAGCAATGTGGCTGGCTACTCAAGCCCCAGCCTTCTCTCCCGCGGGGTTCTTCCAAGCAAAGAGGCAATGTGCTAAAAGAAAACAAACCGAAAAAGGGCAATAAAGCAAAACCCAGGGAGGACGGGAGTCGGCGCTCCAGGGAGCCTATGGGCAGGCGGAGTGTGCTCGGTGCTTCCTTGCCGCACAATGAACCGGGCTGGGGGGCCGGGGAGGGGCACATTCAGGGTTAACCAAAACAGCGAAAGCAAAACGAAAAAAGAGCAAATAAAATTTAAATCATAAATATCTGAGGAAGCAGCAGGGAAATGAATCACAGAGCATGCTGGTCTCAGACGATGTCTCCCTGCAGAAGCGGACCCCACTAGGGCTCGGCCCCTGCGCCCACTGCTCCTGAGCTGCTGGGCCAGGCGGCCAGTCTGATCAGGTGGCCCCACTCCACCTTTGGGGAGGCCTGGCGCCCTAGTCAGGTACCCCTCAGGGAGCAGCAGTACTGGTCTGGCCTGAAGGGGGTGCTGGAGAGCCCTCCAATGCCACCCGAGCAGGTTCCAAAGTCGCAGCTGTAGGCTGCTCAGGTGCAGTCACTAGAGGGTGGGTGTGGGCCACAGCCCACTCAGTCTGGGGTCCCTGCTCCCCACAGGGCAGCTCCAAACACCTGCTGCACAGGGCTAGCACCCTGGGTGATCGGGACACCGTTCCTGCCAGGACTAGTACCCCAACTCGGTCCTCCTCGCCCACCCCTGGAGCATTCTGTGTTCCCTGTCTTCCTCCCCAGGTGTTCTGTGTGCCTGTCTCCCCCAGGCTCTGTATATCCCATCTCCCTCCCCAGGGCGGTCTGTGTGCCGCCCTCTCCCATAGTGGGAGGGGTCTCTTGATTTGCTTAGCTAACACCAACTGAGTGAGTTGAAGGAATGAGGGAAACAACTGGTCCCTGGCAGGGCACTCCCCACCCCAATCCCCCCCCACCCCACCCCCGGAGGCCCTGTCATGGACCCAAGCACTCTGGGGGATGTGAGCTCTGGCCAAAGCTGCTCCTGGGCCCTGCCGCGAAGCCTGGAGCCCTGCACCTGGTCACCCGACTGTGGGGAGCAGTGCGCCAGGTACCCCACAGCTCCTGCTAACAGGGCCCTGAGGGGGCGCAGCTGGAGGGGAGGCGGTTGGGGGGGGGGCTGGGCGTACCCCGGCCCACGGGCAGGGCCTCGGCATTGCAGCACTGGTCCACCAGCTGGTGGCAGTGCTCTGTCATGGCCTCCAGCTGGGTCTTGTCACACGGCACCCCCAGGAACCGTGCCAGCTGCTCCACCATCGTCGCCAGGTCCTGGGGGACAGAGAGCACAGGAGGTTCAGAGGTGGCAACTGCACCTGCTGCATGCATCCCCTCGCCACCCCTGGCCTGACACTGGGGGATAAGAACACAGCTGACACTAGCACTGCCAAGCAGGACTCCCCCACCAGGCCCGCAGGGGCTCCCAATGCAGGTGGGCATCTCCCCTTGGCCGTTTTCCACCAGCAGCAAGAAGTAACCATCCCCTCCAGGGCTTCCAGGGAGTGAGGCCTGGCTAGCTCTCTCGGGCCACCTGCCCTGTCCTCCCACCCTGCTCCCTAGGCCCTAGACAGCCCCTTGGGTTGCCTGCCCTGTCCTCCTGCCTCTCCACGAGGCTCAGGCCACCTGCCCCCAGCCCACCTCCCTGGCTAATCAGAAGTTCTAGCACAGAGCCACACAGGGAGCCCCCACCACTGGCACAGCCTCGTGCACCTGCTCTCACGCCCTCCCCAGGAAACACGAGGGCACCCCAGACTCTCAGCAAGCGTCCCCCCGTGCTCAGGCCAGAGTTGGAGGTGCCAGCAGCACCCCCCTGCAGAGGAGGCAAGTCCCCTGCAATAGGGACCACTGACGGCCCTTCCCTCGGGGCTGGTGAGCAAGTCAGCAGAGTGCGACCTTTCGAAGAAGGCCTGTCACAGGGATGCCGGCAGGATTTCCTGTGTGACTCCCTCCTGTGCCTGCAGCACCATGCCCTTGGAGGCCACGTGGCGGCCTCTGGTGGCTGGCTCTGGGTCAGCCAGTAGGGCCAGGATTCGCAGTGGCTCACGAGTTGGGCCCTGGAAAACCCCATGCTGTGCCCTACCACAGTGGGACTGACTCCATGAGACCCCCTGTGAGCAGCCGGTCAGCTGGAACTCAACCCTCTTGCTCAGGTCACCACTGGATGCAACTGAAAGGAGGCTTCCTCGGGTGTGGCTTGCTCCCGATAGAAGTGGACGCTGTGGGAAAGCTTGCTCGACTTCCTGCTGGGTCTGGACCCGCATCTGGATCACGGGCCTCCTCTGGTTCTTTGGACCAGAACCAACAGCTGGCCACACTGCCTGCTGACCCTAGGGTAAGGTGACCAGATTTAAAGTGGGCCACCACTGGCCGGGGGCGGGGGTCCTCATTAAATATCTGGTGTATATGGACCAAATAGACCGTTCCCGAGCTTGTCGTGCATTCTTTCCAAAAATTGGGACTGTCCCGCCAAAAGCGGGAAGTCTGGTCACCTTACCCTAGGGGTCTCGATGACCTGCCACCTGACCTGTCAACCTGGGACTCTCTCGTTTCTGCTGTCACCAGCCACCAGTCTGGCCACCTATTTGCTGATCTTAGGCCCATCCACCCGCACGGTCAGAAGTCTCTAGCCCTGCAGACTTGGACTTGGGCTTGAAGGCTTCGACAATTGTGTGGACTGTTTTCTCAAAATAAATGTCTTCCTATGTGTACATGTATGTAGTTTTGCTTCTCTCTGGCTGTACACACACACCCTCCCCTCCCCCACCAAGCACATGGGAGTACCACACTCAGCCTGCTGCTGGGCGGGCACCATGGTGAAGGAATGCCCCCATGACGACCAAGGCACAGAGCGCCCCCGTACTGACAGCAGCTGCGACAGGCCCAACCGGCCCTTGGTCTTCGGGGTAAAATGTGGGTGGTGAGAACCCCTGGAAATACGATTCATGGTTGCTTCTCTGCTGAAGCTGTCCCAGACCACAGCCATACCAGCCCACACAGTCAGGCCCTCGCCCTGGTCAACACGGTCCAGGCCTCACACTGATCACACACCCCAGGCTTTGCCTGGATTAGAAATGCCAGTTGGGAGCTTATGGGTTTTCGTGGCGCCTGGAACATCAGCAGGTCCAGTGACAGGCAGGAGGGCGGGTGGTCCCCTGAACCGGAGCGGAAGTGCACAGCGTGGTGACCTCACAAGCACAAGCCTGGTTAGTGTGGCCGTGAACTTGGGGGAAACTGAGAACTCCGTCTGCAGGGCGGTGGAGCCAAGGCCAGAGGAAGACTGAGGCTGTGCTGTGCATGGGGTGTGTGTGTGTGTGTGTGTGTGTGTGTGTGAACAAGGGACAAGGACGGTCTTGACAGAAGTGACAGACCTGTGGCTGGGGTGTGTGTGTGTGTGTGTGTGTGTGAACAAGGGACAAGGACGGTTCTTGACAGAAGTGACAGAGTGGCCACGAGGGGCCACCTGGGCACCTGATGCTGACCAGGCCTTAGGAGACTGTGATGAGGGCCTTAGGGACCCAGCTCACAGACTCCCAGGGGAAGAGCAAGCCCTTGGCTGGAGGATGTCCCCTGGGGTCTGGAGCTGGGCTGGGCCCTCTTGCCTTCACGTCTGTCTGGAGCCCCTTCCTTTGGAGTGGAGAGACCTAAGCATCGGGCTGTGGAGCCACTTCAAGGAATCACTGAACCTAAGACACAGAGGGGGCACCTGCTGACCTGGCCCCAGGTGAGGGGACGGAGGGGAGGTGGTGAGGCGAGTGGACAGGGTTAGAGCGAGAGGAGGAGGCGGGGAGGACAACTTAGAACTTCCCAGAGTGCAGGGTACATGCAGATGAGAGAGGCCATGGGGGCCTGCGCGGGCTCTTTAGTCTGAGTGTCAGCCAATATTCAGCGTGGGATGTGGGCCCCGTGGGCCAGTGGACCCACACCTGGTGCGCAGTGGCATTCTAAGTCAGAGGGATGTGGGCAGGAGAGATGAAGCGGAGGCTGAGCCAGGGGAGGGGCACCAGCAAGACGCCCAGGTGAAGAGGCTGTGATCTGGGGGAGAGAGCAGGTGCAGGGGGGGGGGCGCTCCTGGAAGGCTGGGGTGGATGTGTCAAATGCTCCTGAGGGGTGATCACAGAGAAGGGAGGGGCTGAGTGGAGAGGGATTAGGAAAGCTCTGGGAGCAGCTTGGGGACTGGGGGAGGTGGGGAAAGGGCGGGGTGGGGAGATCTCCGTTGTCCCCAGAGATAGAGTGCTGATGAAAGAAAGCCTGGGAGCACAACAGGTAAGTGCTTACCTGTAGCCACGCTGTGGGACAGTGGGGCCACCTAGCTGCCAAGCTTCAGAGACAGCCATGGCCGGCACCGGCTCCTGTGAAGACTTACCCAAGGACCATGCTGGCCGGCCAGCTCGGACCCTGGCGTTGCTATGGGCTGCACTTCTTCGATGGCCCCCAACTCTAAGCAGGGACCAGTGCTCACATGGCCTGTTCTACACAGCAGGCTCCTGAGGGCCCCTACCCACCTCCCCCACCACTCCCGGACTCCATGGGCATTTAGGCTGCACTTGGTGCCCACCCACCCCACTGATCCCTGACTCAGTGGGCATTCACATTGCACCCGGTGCCCCATTCACGGCTGCACCTGCCTGAACAGGCACATGTGGGGACTCAAAGCCAGGTGTCCTGACCAGCAACTTACAGGCGGCCCCGCTAGGTCAGCTGCAGTCTGAATGGCCCACTCTGAGGTGCCCCAAAGCGGGCATCAGGGCCATCTTGCCCTGCCCCCACCCACACAGGGCGCTGTGCCGACTGTGGGCCGGCGTGACGGGCAAGACCTGTCCTTCATGAAGCATGGCAGGTGCCGCCAGGCCTGTTCTGCAGGGCGGCCTGGCCCGTTCTGGCAACAGGGACTGCTAGGACGAGGGCTGGTGCCCCAGCAGGACTCACCCGGTGCATGTCTTCATACTTGAGGAAAAGCACGTTCGAGTCCATGCGGTGCTCCCAGAATTCCTGCACGTGCTCAAACCAGGAGCCGTAGCCTACTGTGGGGACAAGGGACAAGTGAGTCACCCGGCCGCGGGAGGGGGCAGGTGCAGGTGCAGGAGCTGGCATCAGGGAGGGCAGAGGGAAGTGTTGGGCTCAGCTGCAACCCCAAAGGTCCCCATCCTGGCCCTGTAGTTTCTGCCCACCTTCTCCCCGGCCCCTGCTCCACTCCTTTGAAGGTCTGGCCACGGCAGCTAGGTTTTGCTCCCAACGAGGGGACGTGGAGCATGCCACGAGTCGGGCCGAGTGACAAGCAGGCACCGGACCCTGGACAGTGGGGTTTCGGTGGGGGTAGGGGTTGTGGTAGATATATAATGGTTCGTTAATTTGAGGATTAAGAGTGTAGGGGTGGAGTCTAGCTTGTCAATCAGATCATAGCCAATGAGGCCTCTGTGTGGGCATGGCCTTCTCTTGCGAATTCTGAGAAATCCGGTACTTCCTCCTTAGAGGTGGGAGACTCTCTGCTCACACCCTGGGAGACAGAGCAGCTGACAAGACACATGGACCCACCCTGATGCAGAGACCCCTGCCAGCGCTGAGATGTTTCCAATGCCACTGGATCCGAGGACTTTCTACCCACTGGCCTGTGCTCTTCCACATTCGGCGTCATTGCATGTGTTTCGTGAGTCTGAAGAGGACTTTATGGATTGGTATTGGACATATGGGCTAATATCAGACTTATGGACTTGAACTGGACTGGGCTGAGATGCTTTCTCAATGTTCAACTGCTCTTGTATATAAACCTCTTTTTTATATACATATTGAGTGTCTCCATGAATTTGTTTCTCTAGTCTACCCAGACTAACACAGGGGTGGAAGCACTCAGGGAGGTCGAGAGACGGGGCTGGCTGGCAAGGGGGTCATGGGTGGATCCTTGGTCGATACTCAAGTCACACAGTCATACTAAAATCCTAGGTTAACATGAGTCACAGAGTCTAGGCCACCTCGGGAGCCCCACGGGCCATGTCCAGATTAACACCTAAGTCACACCAAGTCCTAGGCCCATGTGGAAGTCACAACCCGACCATGGGGACATGCGGCCGTGTGTGCCGCCCAGGCCAGTGGGCCAGATGTGTCCGTCCACATCTCCACCTTGGCAGCATTGCTGGAAGTTTCTGCCCTCTGGCTTGGGAAAGGACACATGGCAGGCCGCACACTGCTAGTGGGGTGGGCTCAGGATACTGGCGACCCTGGCGAGGCAGCTTGGGGGCAGGGCAATGGCCAGCCGACCTCTCCTGTTCCCCACAACCCAGTCAGTTGTCCTGCTTCCCTCCCCACACCCCATGCTGGCGCGGGGGGTCAGGGCAGCCTGTCCCTGGGCTGTGTGGTGCATCTCACTAGGCAGGGCCTGTCCTGGAGTAGGGCTGGGTCACTGTGTGCACTCACGCAGATGTCTGCCCTCCGTTTAGAAATGCCAGGAGGGAACCCAGAATTCATGATACGGTGTGGACAGTGCCGGGGCAGAGCAGCTGGGGACACAAGGGCAGAGACCGGCCAGTCTCCGCAGGCAACCACGGGAACAGGAGCTGGCCACAGGGACACCACTGGGGATGGCTGAGGCAGGGGATGATGCCCAGAGGACTTCAAATATCAGCCCAAGGATCTTGGCCCTTCAAGGGCACAGAGAGGGGGGCGCACAAGGCAGGTGTGACGGTGGGCAGCACACAGGCGGGCAGCGCAGGGCCAAGGCCTCACACAGCCTCCCTGTCTAACAGGGACAACTGCAGCCCCTGCCCACAGAGCCACTGGGCACAGAGCGAGGTCCCACGTGGGCAGCTCTCAGGCCAGACCTCACAAGGGCCAGCACACAGCCCCCACGGCGCTGAGTCTCTGTCCTGCGGGCAGCCCTGGGGAGAAGCCCTGTGGTGGGGTCAGCGTGGAGCCAGGAGGCAGACAAGTAGAGGGCTGTCCTACTAGTATGGCCCCGTGGTGCCTGGTGGCCCTTAGCCACATCCATGAACCGGGCTCTAGTCCTCCAGGGCGACACAGTGGGGACAGCGGCAGTCTGCGGTATTGCCAGCAGGTGGCAGCACCGCACAACCTACACTGAGATGCCAGGCTCTGCCTCAGCTGCTGGGATGGCGGTCAGCTGGTAGGCACTTCACTCCCAGCAGTCCGACGGATTGGGGGTCTGCAGCCCTCAAGCTGGACAGAGCCCAGCAACCAGAGTCCTGAGGCTTCTTTACATTTGAACCCTCCCAATCAGGCTACTGGGCTCCACTGGGCCCCCACCCCGCTCTGGGCAGCCTGGACAGAGCTGGGGTCTGCACTGGCCCCTCCCCTTCATGGGTGCCTGGGGCAGGTGCCCAGCAGTCCATCTAATCCCAGGGTCGCCTGAAGTCCCCAGGTCCTTGTCAGGTCCCCAGCAGGGGCCTGGGCTGCACGTGCACTGTTTGGGGGTGGGCCGCAGGGGAACAACACTTCTCATAGGAGAGAATCCCAGCTCCAGCGTCTCGTCCAGTGGTGGGGAGACACAGGCAGTGCCCACCAGGCCCTGGACAGAGACCCGCCTCCAATGGCCATGCAAACTCCTCCTCCAACGGGCCACGCAAACCCCGCCCCCAATGAACTTCACAAACCCCGCCTCCAATGGCCATGCAAACCCCGCCCTCGATGGACCTAGCAAACCCCGCCCCCAATGAACTACACAAACCCCGCCCCTGATGGACCACGCAAACCCCGCCCCCAATGAACTATACAAACCCCGCCTCCAACGCACCACACAAACTGCCCCCCTCCAGGCCCACTGGCACAACCAGATGGCGCCCGGCAGCCACCACCACCGACTCGGTGGGGGGTCATGTTGGAAGGGCCAGGGCAGAGCCAGAGAAAAACGTGAGACAGAACTTAGTCATGTAGAGGCACTGTTTGGACAGAGATGGGAGGGGGTCCCCTAAGATTATGGTCCTCAGAGGCCCCTCGAGCCTGGAACTGGACAAGCATTCAGACCAAAAGGGCAGTGTGGTAGTTACATGATCTGGTGTCAATGTGGGGTCTAGTCTGTCAACCGGGTCACAGCTAATGAGGCCTGTATGTGGGCCTGGCCTGCTCCTGAGAATCCTGGGAATCTGGTATTTCCTTCTTGGAGGCGGGAGACACCTCTCTCTGCTCACTCCTTGGGAGTCATGGCAGCCGACAAGACACATGGAACTCCACTAGTGCCCTGAGCCGGAGAAGCCACATGGATCTACCCTGATGCAGCCAGACCCCTGCCAGCACTGAGATGTTTACAACGCCCTGGATCCAAAGATTTTCTACCCACTGGCCTGTGACTGTCCTGCATTTGGCATCATTGCATGTGTTTCCTGAGTCTGAAGAGGACTTTATAGATTGGTATAAATATGGACTAATATCAGACTTATGGGCTTGGACTGGACTGGGTTGGAATGCTTTCTTAATGCACGGTCACCCTTTATATAAACTCTGTCTTACACACATATGAGTTTCTCTGGATTGGTTTCTCTAGTCTACCTGGACTGACATAGGCAGCACGGACCCAGGAAGCGAGGCCAGAGGGTTGGGGAAGAATGGAATGGAACCGGAGACCTGGGGAGGAGGTGGGAGAGGGAGGCCGGTGAGGAGCCGCAGCATCGAGGTGGAGGTGAAATGTGTGTCAGCAACATCAGATGGAAACTGGTCTGCTTGCAGAGCACCCCCGAGTCACAACGGGGCCAAACACAGCATGCGTGCAAACTGTGCAACTGAACACCGCTTGGCGTGGGAGCGAGCCACGGGTCAGAGTGGATGGGAATGGCTGGCGGCGTGGGGCAGGCGGGCAGGGGAGGCCTGGCAGCCACACTCACACTTATCATTCATGAAGCGCCGGCAGAACTCCTGGAAGGTGCCCCGGTAGCTCATGGTGCGCAGCGAGCGGTGAAACTGGTAGTAGGAGACCACCAGGTCCTTGGGGTTGCGGGCCATGTAGATGACCTGTGGGGAGGCCCCAGTGAGCCAGGGTGCCCCCCGCAGGTGCCACTCAGGGCCGTTCTGAGAGGACACCGACTTCCAGCCCCGCCAGCCCCAGCACGTGTGCATGCCCCCCAGGTTCTGCCTCCCTCAGTAGATGGGGTGTCTGCTGGGGCCCCTGCTTGACTTGCTCAGCATGCTTTTGCCCCGTTAAAGACATGCCCGTTCTGCCCCCATCCTGGTGATTAGCACCTGCCCGGCAGGCACCATGGCTCGCTAGCACAGGGGCAGCAAGGCTGGAACCAGGCCTGGGCAGGTGGTGTCCAGGGGCTGTGTGTTGCGAGCCTGGCCCGGCTGCCAACCCCGCAGACAGCACAGACCGAGGGCCAGTGCAGGAGCCACGAAAGCTGCTCCCCAGGGGGAGGACAGCTGCATGATGGAAACGCTAGCGGCCCGGCTGGCGGGCTACCCTGAGTGCCCCTCTGAGGAACTGGCACTCTCCAGACGTTCCCTGGCAGGGATGTCCCCAGATGGCATGGGGGACGTGCCAGGATTGTGAGGGTAGGGTAGCATCCTGGGCTGGCCCCATGAGGATGGCTCACCGGGAAGGAGGGGCCCTTACCTTGGAGTCCCCGTTGTGGAGGTCGGAGGGCAGGAATCGGTAGGGCAGGTGGCTCTTGATGAGGCGGGGGGATGTCAGCTCCTGTGCAGACAGAGGGAGAGGGACCTCAGAGACCTCGGACGCTGGGCCAGGGCCTTGCTCATCGCTGACACACTTCTCTAATGTGGACTGGCGGGCGGCACCTGTCTCCAGGCAGGGCCCCAAGGATGATAGGTGACTGGCTGTCACAGAGGACCTAGGCCCAGGGAAGAGGGTGTGGGGGGACAGGCCTCGGCAGGCAGGGCACCAGGCACCCTGCAGGGCAGCTGTGATGCTGCCTGGCCTCCCACTCCTACCCCTCACGGGCCACCGAGCAACCCGGGCCTGGAACCCTGGGGTGCCCCCGTCTTATCTGTCTGTGCCCTGAGCTCGTACTCGGACTTTGTTCATGGCATGTCCAGCGACAAGCGGGACCGGGTACCTTCATGACAGTGCAATGTACCGCTTCCCAAACTCAGCCAGCCAGCCACCTGGTCATACGTGTGTGTACTGTAGCCCACGATGCAGGATAAAGTGTAGATGCTGCTTTTGCAGCCCCTGGCTGTGTGGCTCCAACACTCCACTTTGGGAAACACTAGTCGGTGAATGGTCCCAACAGGGGTGGGGTGCAGGGCCGCTGAGCAGAGGCAGAGAGGCCGGTGGGGTGGGGCAGACACCCATCATGTAGGGTGCCTGCTGGCTGTGCGCAGCCACTGAGGGATGTAGGGGCGGAGGGACTGGGCAGGGGTTCGCAGAACAAACTCGCCCTCTGGTGGCTGAAGGGAGGAAGGACAGGGCGTGAAGGCAGCATTTCCCCAGGGGGCGGGGCAATTACAGACACCTGAGGCGGTGGAGGGCCCCCCCCCCAGGGCCGGCCCTTGGGCCACTGGCACTGAGCCTGTTCTCCATAGCAAACGTGCAAGACAAGTGAGCCACTGCCCACCAGGCAGCTCCCCACCCTACCCTGCAGATGCATTGATACAAAGGCCCCGGCGTGTCCTGCCAGCCCCTGGGTCACTGCCACCACTCTGCCTCAGCAGGAGCAGGGACCCCCTTGGGCAGTGAGGGGCTGGCTGGCCCAGGTACCTTGATGATGTCCAGGCCAGGCTGTGGGTACTCCAGCACGGGCAGCTGCTCCTCAATGTTCATCAGGCCGATCTCGTCAGGGTCCGCCCCTTGGCTCACCAGGTAGACCACCTCCTGCAGCAGGCTCGTGCCTGCAGGGGGAAGGCAGGCCATGAGCCGGGCTCCCCTGCCTGGGGAAGCACTGGTCAGTCCATCCTCATTGGCAATGGCAGGCCAGGAGGCGCCGTCTGCCAGGGACAGGGAAAGCCACCAGTTGACCCACTGTGACCCAGGAACTGAAGCTCCGGGCTCCTTTGCCGGAAGGAGGGGCAGTGACTCAGAAAAACGGACACTCGGAAGTCATGTACCTGCCCACCTGCAGGAGGGTGAATAAGCCGGGGTGTCCCTGAAGCAGCACCCTCACAGCGAGGTGGAAACCAAGGAGGCGCCACGGCGGCAGAGTCCCACGAACGGCACCCACCGCGGGAAACGAGGCCAGACTGACAGCAGTACGATTCCCTCAGGGAGGGTCAGCAGCTGGCAACTGAGCTGTGGCTGCGTGTGGGTATCTGTGTGTGAGTGTGTGTGTGTGTATGAAGGGGTGTGTGTGTGTGTGTGTGTGTGTGTGTGTGACTTTGGTGACAGAGGTGAGGCCTGCAGTGTGGAGAGGTGGGCAGTGAGAACAGAGGCTGTGGATGGGGAGGCGATTATCAAGTCAGAGAGGACACTGCCCACAGAGGCATTGCTCAGAGAAACAAGGCTGCCTGTGGGTGGTCGGGGCGGAGAGCATGACCTCCCACTTAAGAAAGCCAGGGGCTTGCACCAGCAGGAGCAGATGGCTTGTGTGGGCTGGAAAGCCTATGGGCCCATCCCACGGCTGGCAAGGGTGCCCACTCGTGGACTGCAGACCAGAATCTTCCTGCCCTCCCTAGCTGGGATGCAGCTTCCAGTCGCCCACACACACCAGACTGCTGGTCCGGTCAACCCCTCCATCCACAGGGGTCACTACTCCCCTCTCCCAAGTCTCCGGGTGAGTGCCCCACCCGCACTCGGGGAAGTCCCTTCCTGACCAGACCAGGCAGCTCTCTCACAGGCAAGGACTCCTGAGATGGGTCCCAAGAGCTCATGCACTTTAACACGGGCACCCCTTGCCAGCCATCACTCCAATCCCACACCTGTTGAATCTGCGTGCAGACAGAACCTGGAGCATATGGAGAAGAATGTGGCATCAGCACTGGAGGCAGGTTGATTAACCACCTGCGATATGCAGACGACACAACCTTGCTGGCTGAAGGTGACTTGAAGTACCTGCTGATGAAGATCAAGGTGGGCGGCCTTCCGTCTGGATCACAACTCAGTGTAAAGAAAACCCAGATCCTCACACCTGGACCGACAGGTAACATCATGATCCACAGAGAAAAGATGGCGGCTGTCAAGGATCTTGTCTTGCTTGGATCCACCATCAATGCTTACGGAAGCAGCGGTCGAGAGACCAGAGAACTCACTGCACTGGGTACATCTGCTGCACAAGACCCTTTGCAAAGACGGATGAGCAAACAGGCCACTTTGAGGACGGGGGTGCCTGAGCCGAGCCACAGTACCGCTGACTGCCTCTCGTGAGTGCGGAACAGCTGTACGCAGAGCGGGAAGAACGAGGGAGAATCGCGGCATTTGCATCCTGGCTCTGGAAAGGATGCTCGAAGTGCCAGGGGCTGCCAGGAGAACAAACCACCCCAGCCTGAGCCGGAGGGAGTGCAGCCAGAGTGTGATGGGAACCGAATCGAAGCCAGGGCACCCACGGCCACCGTCGTACTTTTCATTCCCAAGAGTTTTTGCTCGGTCTCTGCTTAGCCTGGGTTGTGCCGAGCTCCGGCTGAGGATGGAGCAGTCGATTCTTGTGTGGGTTTTCTGTGCTCCTCAAGCTGTGGAAGCGCCCTGCGGTAACAGTGGTCGGGCGCTAAAGTCTGCTGAAGGAGACAGCAAGGGTCCCAGGGAGTCCCTTGGTGGTGGCAGAGAACAAGGAGGTATGCACGTCCCTAAAGACTCGCAGCCTCGGGGCCATGGGGGCCGTTCTCGGTGGCACAGGACAGCTCTGGGTGCACTGGGAATGGGCTCTCGGCGGCAGCGGGCTGGGTTTTGCCGCACGCCATGTGGACTCCCTTCTCTGCTGGTTGTGATTTGCTTTTGCGGGTCTCTGCCCTTCATGTGGAGGCTTCAACGCGTGGTGAGCCGAGTGCCCATGCACGTGGACGAGTGTGGTTCAGGGCACGAGCAGCCAAAGGGTGCCCACAGTCGAGTTCACCAGCAGCAGAGGAAAAGATACGCATGCATAACCCAGCTGGACAGTGGACTACTTACTACTCAGCCGGGAAGAGGCATGAAGTCCGGATGCAGGCCACAGCGTGGACTTTAACACGGGACACAGAGAGAGTGAAGGCAGCCGCAAAGGAATGGGGTATGCCCCGGGGGATGAACTCGCCAGCACAGGCAAGGGTCTACAGACCACGGCTTATGAGCAGGAAGGCCCTGGTGGCCTAATGGTCACAAGGTGCTCTGCTAACTGCGAGGTCAGCAGTTCAAAGCCACCAGCTGCTCTTCGGGAGAAGACGGCACGTTCTGCTCCTGTGACGTTCCTGTCTCGGAAGCACGGCACAGGTGCAGCCTGTCCCTGGGAACGGCACTGACTTGGTGGAAATGGGTTTGGACTTTTGGTTTGGGGCCAAAGACCAAGGGGCAGGTGGTGGGAGGGGAAGGGGACAGTGAGCTTTGGTTAGGGCTGATGGGAAATGGGGAAATGAGGCTCAGGGCTGAGCGCCACGGTCAGCATAACTGGGTCCCAGCACTGCCCACGTGAAGAACGGGGGCAGGCCGGCGAGCCCTCACGTACTGACTGACCACAGACACGCCGAGGAAAGAGCACCAGGCCACGGAAGTTGCTCCTGTGGGCTCAGGGCTCTGTGAGGACTCCGCCCAGGGGCTCCTCGGGTGAAGATGCACACATATGTGCACTGGGGTCCACTGCCCCACAGAGTGCACCCTCCGGTTCATGGTGGGGGTCAGCACAGTGGCCACAGGCACCCTGGGAGCCGAGCTGGGGCTTTCCCAGAGCCCCTTCCGTCCACATGAGCTGTGCTCTGGACAGTTCCCAAGCTAAATATGGCTTTAGAGAGGCTCTACTGTTCCACACACGATGTCCAACAGCCGATCCGAAATTACTCCACACACAGGAAGCTAGCCATGGCGGGGAGTCTTCCCAAGATAAGGAAAGGCAACAAGCCCAGATCCAAGAGTCTCCGAGAAGGGCCGGCTGGAGAGGCCGACAAGACGTGAGCAGCCAGGGAGGAGGGTGGCAGGGCAGGAGGGGAGGGGGCAGGGGCGAGAGATGCACCTGCACATCTCACAGTCAAGGAGCAGGACATAGAGGATAAAAGTAGAGAACATGAACAATGGAAGGAGAAAGGCAGGAATCACAGCAGACTTTTCAACAGCACCCATGGGTGCCAGAAAGCAATGGAGGGACAACTCCCATGTGAAGGGCCAGAGGAGGGAGGCTGGCCCCACGATCTGTCCAGCAGGGCTTGGAGGATGGGAAGGCTCTTCCAGTGACCCGCACGGAGGGAGGAGCCCAGCAGACAGGAGGGGTGACCGCCCAGAAGACAGAACAGAAGTGGTGGGACCTGGACCGCTGAAGGGGAAATCAGGAGTCTGAGCAGCGGAAGACTGCAAAGCTCTAAGAAGGGAGTGGTCACCGTCAAGCTTGTGCCTCCAAGGGGCTGGACAAGTGGACAATGGACCAGTGGAGAGGACTGAAGGCAGGTTTTGAGAGAAGACCCTGGGACTTGAACAGGGGGTGCAGGGGAGGGCCCAAACAGAGCCTTTCATGGGCACTGATGCGTGTGTGCATGCCAGGGGTCCTTTCCCACCCGAGACCAATGGGGGCTTCTTTATGTCCCAGCTTCCAAGGACCCCCCTCAGCCAAAGCAGGATCTTTGACCTGCTTGCCCCCCTTCACTGCGAGTGCACAGCTGGGATGAAAGAAATGGGCCGGCACGAGGGAGGAGGGAAGGACCGGGAATTGCCACGCTGCCTCCTGCCCACAGCCGGGCTCTGCCGTGCTCCTGGGAAGCGGGTATGTAAGGAGGGTGCTGAGAAGCCAGCCCATGTAGTGCTCCTGAGAGGACAGAGCTTCACGCTGCAAGGCCCTCAACACCTCGCTCGGCTTCCCACTGTGCAGTGGCGTTGGCAGTTCAAACCCACCAGGCACCCTGAGGGCTGAAGCAGAGGCTATCTTGCTCTGTGAAGAGCTACAGCCTTGGAAACGTCACCAAGGGCCACTGGTAATCACAGCCGGTGCTGTGGCACCGGGTCTGGCCTGGGGTGGCTTCCCCATCCATACAGGGAGGTGCTTGGTCCACAGTCTCCTCCACGCGCATGGTGTGGGGACATGAAACGAGGGGACTGTAAGGGACACCTGGGGAGCATCGGGCTCAGAGAATGCTGGTACCCTATCCCCCCCCCACCCCCAAAAGGCTGCCACTGCCTTGCCCTTTCCCCTCACCACAGAGTGGGACTGGCCACAGCACGGAGGGTGGAAGCCGTAAAGAAACCTCTCGTTGGGAGCTGACCCAGGCCCTGCACTGCCTCCCCAGGCAGTCTTCTGGGGTCTTCTTCAACTGAGCCCCCTCCGTGCCACTTGCCTGGCATCACTGCAAGCTCTACGAAGACAGTGCCCTCTTGTTTCAGCACCCCCAAGTCCACCTGGCCACCGCCCAGTCTCGCCTGGGCCCCACACAGAAGGGGTCTCCCCGCAGGCCATTTAATGAAAGACTCAGATACACCAGCCAGACACAACCCACAAACTTGAGGTGCCGAGGGCTCACGGGACCGAGCCAAGGTTGCAAGGCCTAGGCTCAAACCCCAATGCTCAACCGCAGGCAAGCTTCTCACCCCTCCACCCCACAGCTATTCACCTCCTCTCATCTTGTGGCTGTTAGGTGCCACCAAGAGGGTCCTGACCCCACGTGACCTCAGACACAGCAGAAGGCAGCCCTGAGGGACCCTGCGCCATCCTCACCGGCGTTGCCAGGTGAGCCCACTGGCAGCCACTGGGCCAGTCCATCTCCTGGAGGGCCTTCCGCTTTCTCGCTGCCCCTGGTCCTGACCAGGCATGCTGTCCTTCTCCAGGGACCGGTCCCTCCTGACAACGTGTCCAAAGTGTGCGACAACAAAGTTCCAGGATGCTTCTGACGAGCATCCCATCCCGGTGGGACTTCCTCCCAGGCAGGAGGGTCTGCTCCACTGGCAGCAGTCCGTGGTACTCTCACCACAGCCCTGCCATAAAGTCTGCTCCGAGGCTGGCGGCCCACAGGACAGGGCAGAACGGGAGCTGTGGTTTCAGAGGCGGTTACTCTGCATGCGGGCAGAAGGCGGGGGCTGGCAGGAGCCAGGCAGGGTCTCCTGGGGGAGGCCAGAGCCGAGCCGCAAGGAGACTCCCAGGAGCCCTCCCTCCTCCAGCAGAGAGAAGACCTTCAGGACAGAGGCTACCCCCCTGCGTGGTGGCGTAGGGCAAGTGCGGGTTTATAAGCCCTGCTTTCCAACAAGTGCAGCCTCCTTTCCTGAGAGGACTGCCCCCGCCCTCGCCACCCACCTGCCCCGCACAGCAGGAAAAGGCTGCGAACCAGGAAGGAACAGAAACACCAAACTCCCCACCAGCGAGTCGATGCCAAATCACCGCGACCGCTCAGGACAGAGCAGACTGTCCCTGTGGGTTCCCCAGGCAGTAATTCTTTACAGGAGTAGAGAGCCTCATCTTTCTCCAGAAGGAACTGAAAAGAGGATGGAAAATACTGGGAGCCCGCGTACCCCACTTCTCCTGAAGCGGACCCCGTGCTTGTCCTAGCCATGCACATGGACTTCCCTAAGCCATTTCTTCTTCCTGGGTTTCTGGACCCTGTCTGTGGGGTCTGACTTCTCAGTGCTGTGGGGTGCCCGGACAGAGGGGTTCTGTAATCTGTTCTTGGGGGTTGCCAGCGCCTGCTTGCAACCAGGCCAGCCTCGGCCTGCTCTGCCCTCAGTGGAAGAAGGGGTGGGGCCAGGCAGAGACACAGCACACCGACACCCTAAACTCACTGCCATCGAGCGGAAGCCGCCTCACAGAGACCCTACAGGGCAGGGTAGAACCGCCCCTGGGGGCTTCTGAGGCCAGCTCCTCACAGGAGTAGACAGCCCCATCTTTGTCCCACAGAGCGGCTGGTGGCTTTGAACCACTGCACCACCAGGGCTCCTGGACACACAGCACGAGCCTGGAAAAGTCAGACGGCTGCTGAAGGGGGCTAGGGGGGTAGTTTTTGTGTTTTAATTCAGCAAAGGCAGCTCCCGAAGGCCTGGGTGAAGGGGTCCTCACTCAGGGTCTCAGAGGAGGGAAAGTGTCACTGTGTGTTTTCGTCTCTTACACAGACAAGCAGCCGCCCGCAATGATCTGAGAAACTGCCTTAAAACCAACACCTGTGTCCAAAACGCCTCCGTCAGGACCCCCTAAAATGCCCAAAGCAGGGCTTTCTCCCTCTAGGGCAGGGGTCGGCAAACCGGCTTTCAAGCCAGATTTATGTGGCTCCGAAGTAAAATTGAAAACAATTTAAAGATATTATTCAGATCATGGTGATTATATTTGTTTGTAAAAGTATATATGGCTCTAGAATCCTTTTTAAAGTGTTGTGAGGGACAGGATTGGCTTCTCCGTCTCAAAAGCCTGTCGACTCCCGGTGGAGAACAACGGCCCGTTGGCTGCACTGTGCTTCCAGGTGAGTCTCCCCCAGGATCCCGCAGGGGCAGCAGCAGCACCGTGGCTGCCCAGGAGCAGAGAAAGCACCTTGCCTCCCTGCAGCGTCTCAGCTTCCATTGCCCACCTGCAAGCCACAGATAATCATGCCGTGGTGGCGGTGGTGGTGATGGTAGTGGTGGTGATGGTGACAATGGTGATGGTAATGATGGTGGTGGTGATGGCAATAATGATGATGGTGATGGTGGTGGTGGCAATGGTGACAATGGTGGTGATGGTAATGATGCTAGCGGTGATGATGGTGGTGGTGGTGATGGTAATGGTGGTGATGGTGACAATGGTGGTGATGGTAATGATGCCAGCGGTGATGATAGTGGTGGTGGTGATGGTAATGGTGGTGATGGTGACAATAGTGACAGTGATGATGGTGGTGGTGATGGTGACAATGGTGGTGGTGATGATGGTGGTGGTGATGATGGTGGTGGTGATGGCAATAATGATGGTGGTCGTGGTGGTGGTGACGGTGACAATGGTGGTGATGGTAATGATGCTAGCGGTGATGATAGTGGTGGTGGTGGTGATGGTAGTGGTAGTGACGGTGAAGATGATGATGGTGAAGAAGGTGATGTGGTGAAGATGGTGGTAATGGTGACAGAGATGGTGGTGGTAATGGTGACAGAGATGGTGGTGGTGGTGATGATGGTGACGGTGGCAGTGGTGATGGTGGTGGTAGTGATGATGATGGTGATGAAGATGTTGGTAGTGGTGATAATGATGGTAGTGGTGGTGATGGGTGGTGCCACTGAGTTGGTGTGGGATTGGCAGCAACCCATGTGACAGAGTAGAACAGTCCTACAGGGCTTTGAAGGGAACAGTTCTATTGCTGGCTGTCACCTTTCTCAAAAGGAGTCACCAGGCCTTCCTCTTACAGAGCCATGGGGTGATGATGTCCAGGAGACAGGACAACAAACCGCCAATCTTGCAATTAGCAGCCAAGCACTTAACCATCACCCCTCGAGGGTTCCACACATCCGAAAACCCTAAAGGGCTCCCAAACCCAATTGCGTCACCGGAAGGCAGCAAGTTCCATCCTAAAGTGACAGAAGGCTACTCATAGTTTTGATTGATCCCCCTTAATGGAGTGTTCCACAACCCTGGTAACAAGAAATTACCTAGGTGTCACCCCAAAGCACAGCCGCACCCTGGCTGAGAGTCTTACGGCACACGTGTAGGATAAACAAAACCAAGTCCACTGTCATCGGGTGCATTCTGACTCTCAGCGACCCTACAGGGCAAAGTAGAACTTCCCCTGTGGGTTTGCGAGAACGTACCTCTCCATGGGAGCAGAAAGCCTCATCTTTCTCCCAAGAAGCGGCAGGTGGCTTTGAACTGTTGACCTGGTGGTTAGCAGCCCAGCATGTACCCACTATGCCACCAGGGCTCCTCCTAATATACACAACTATCTTTAAAGTCGACTCAGAATCCCCACACCCAGTGGATGCCAGGGTTTGACTGGGGTGCCGGGGGGGCGCGGGGGGGGGGCTCCCTCGTGAGGCTGCTGTGAAAGGACAGTCCCCCGCCTCAGCAAGAGTCCGAGTCCCTTTCCTTTCTTCTCCAGGACCACGAAGCAGCAGCCTCTCCAGGCTGCAGGCAGCCCGGCCAAGCCTTCCTCTCTGCACCCCCACACTCGCTCTCCCACTCCTCCAACGATAATGGATGCCCGAAACTACACAGCTCCGAGGGCAGCCTCTCTGGGGACTGTCCCACTACCGGTCCACAGTGACCTTAAGGCCAGCCACCTTACAAAGCACACAGACGTTCTCAGCAGGCTGGTTTCTGGCATCTCTCCAGAAGACAAGACAACAAAGGCAGGCCAGGGCATGTCTGAAGGTGAGGGGGGTGGGGGGTGACGGTGACCTATGTGGCTGTCTATAGTCAATTCCCACTCATCACAACCCTGAAGGGCAGAACGGAAACGCTGGGAAGGTTGCGTGGCCATAAATCATAAGGGAAGCAGGCAGCCTCCTCTTCTGGGCTGGAACTGCTGCCCTTTCCTTTCAGAAGCCAAGTGCTTGAACCACCGCCCCGCCGGGACTGCTAAAGAACAGAGAGCCCCCTCTTCCCTGTACATCGCAAGGAGGGGGCGGGCAGCCCCGGAATATCAGGTCCCGGAGGCGAGCAGACTGGAGTTGCATCTGAGCTCTGGCCCTCGCAGGCTGCTGACCTTGGGCGCGCCACTTTCTCTCTCTGCACCTCAGAGGATGGCCAGCTCTCCTTTACAGGGGAGTCCTGGAAATGACGTCATGTAGGGCTGGGAAGCGAGCCTGTGCCTTCCAGGGTCCTGCTTAGGCCCTGGGTACTATCACCTACCAGGCTTGGGACCAGGTGGGCAGGCGCCCCACCCACCCACACACTCACCCACACACACACACTCGCACGCGCGCGAGGGGTACACAGCTGTTCTCCCCGCCCCCCAGTGCACGCTGGAAATGAGGGGCGTAAACAGCCTCGGCGCCTTATTATCCCTCTTCCCTGAGGACCACCGGGATTCTGCACTCCACAACGGCCGGGAAAAGCCCAGAAACTGAGAGGTTGGGTGACCGGTCCAAGGTCACACAGCCCACCAGGTAATGGGCGGGGAAGCCGGGATGGGAGGCGGCCCTGGGCCCTCCGGATGCGGCCGCTGTCCAGCGCCGGGCGCCGCACTCGCGCGCGCAGGTCCCCGCAGCTGCACCCGGCCGCCCCCCGTCGCCCCCGGGCACCGGGTGGGGGCGCCTCCAGGGCGACCGTCCGGCCCCGACCGGCAGTCCCCGGCGCTCACCGGACTTGGGGTAGGTGACGATCCACACGTCGCTGGGCCGCACCGGGAAGTTGGCGATCTCCTCCATCTTCCCGCGGCAGAAGGGCGGCAGCCGCACGCCGTGGAACTCGAAGTACTTGCTCTCGAACTCCCCCGGGGTGCTGGGGGTCTCGGCCTCGC